CTTATGTTTAGGTGATTATACACTAATGAAAACATACCTGTGAATATTATATTTCATTTCTGCCAATAGATCCTCCTAAATGTTACACACTGACCTTTAACACTTATTTCAGATGAATGAACTAGAGTTCATAATTGTTCTTCCTCTTCTTGTTAGTTATGGTACTGCTTAGATCGACAAGCGACAACAGCATTGTAAATGGCTGGAGATTGCATACAGCAGCACGGCATTCTTTGCAATTTGGTTGAATTCAGACCTGCTGTGCGATCAATGGTACAATCAAACTGGTACATCACAGCTTTGAGTGCACAAATTGATCCAAACTAGTTTTACACTGGAGAAACCACAGTAAATGCTTTAGACAACATGTTCCTCTTTTATCTTGTCTTATACAGCACACAAGTAAACCCCTCAAGACTGTATTACAGGATGCCTTAGGCATCTGCTTGCACTGTTTCCTGTAATGCAGTTGTGTATTAGGGTGCAAGTTGATACTGAGTGGTGTGGTGTATGTGTGTGTGACATCAGCTACACTGACTGAGTGCAATGTTACAGTGCAGACGTAGAAAAATTCTTGCAAAGGAAAAGCTGCATTATCTTAGAATTATTATCTCTGGACATCAGTGTTGGAGAGAGAGGCTGACTATGTTTTGTCATACTGGTGCTTGTATGCTATAAAACACTGATCTTGTTTTGTTCTTTCACGTTTTAAGCAAATTAATTTAACCTCACAAATTAGCATGAAAATAATAATTATGTTTCAGAAAGGTGTAATTTTCAACAACATTGCAAATAGTACATGAGTTTTTATTTGGTTTATTGGTTATTTTTTGGGTTATCCTGTCGAAAAATTAATTGTTAATTACAACTGCTTCTTCAGGGAGAACTCTGAAACAGTGAAAAACAGCTGTAACACCTTTTCAGTTGATAGCTGTTTCTGGCGACCTGATGAATGTAAGTCCAATATTCACACTCATTTCAGCTCCACCAACTCCTGAGATCTAATTATTTAGCTGCTAAATGATTCACTATGCTCACCAGCTAGTTGCTAACTGTCTGTCTGTTATTTGGTGATGCCCAAGTAGCGTAAAGTGTTTCTGCAAATTTTCTAACAAATGCATGCTGCCACTGAAAAGGACACTAATGAAAACATTCAAGTGGGTGGGGAAACCAAAACAAGGAGCTGAATGTTGAAATGCTACGTAGAGCTGAAGAGAACTGCATTGTTGTGTAATAATTATTTGTGCGTTCAGAACGACCCCTTCCACATACAAGTCGTCATGATTCATTATTGAAAAAACATTGATGTTGCTCCTATCTGCATTGTATTTTTGTTTCAACTTTACTGAGAATGTTTCAGTTAATTTATTGTGTTCTATCTGTATTTGGAATGCACTTTGTATGTGTGGTTAGATAACATGCAACTTTAATAAAAATAAATAAAGGGTGAGTTAGTTCTTATCTTCTTATCTTAAAGAAGAGTGGCCTTCGTTTTTTCCTTATTGCTGTAACATGCTGCAAAAGTTTTTCCCAACAGAAAATGGTTCAATTAGTCCATATATAAATCCTTTTCATTAAATGGTGGAAAATATTGGTAAACCCTAACCTCAAGCTACCTTACCATCTGGTTGATGCCACTCTCCTGGATTTCCTTTGTTGCAGCTCAGTCTGTATACAAAGGTAATGCATTCAGTGGTTATTGAGAGAGCCTGGCTGTTACGTAAACAATGTTCCACTGAAACCAGAACAAGGTGTGTGAGTGACGTGCATTTAAAAGGGGAGAGGATGTCAGCAAGGTATGTGTATGAGAACATTAATCAAAAGAGTATTACTTTTTCCACTGCACTAATAGTACCAAGAAGTTGAAAAGAGTGATGTTTTAAGTTTTAGGTGAAAACAGAAAGGATGTGCCGGATAGTTATGCACCTGCTGATCCTGATGACACTCAGCTGTCTGTCTTGCGCTGAAGATGAGGCAAAGGTTACTGTTTCCTGTCCAGAATACCAGAAGGACTTTGGAGGTTCCTGCTATGAGTTTGTGGGTCTCCAGCATACTTTCTTCAGTGCTCAGGCTTGGTGTGAGCAGCGTGGTGGACACCTTGCATTCATCCCAGACGAAGAAACTCAATATTTCCTTCAAAGACACCTGGACCCGAAGAAGGATGTGTGGCTGGGAGCAGCACCGTCTACCTCTTCAAACATGCAATATTCTCCAACTGTTGAAGGTAAGAGGGCCTAAATGTAGAAGACAGACAACTGCTGCATTAAATGATAAACTGTGAAAGTTTCCTCTTATGCTGATTTACATGATGATGCTCATGAGCATACAGAGACTAGCGTGTAATAAAATAAATCTCATTTAACAAGTTGCAAAATGAACATACTGCCAAGGATACACTTTTACAGCACAATGGTATTGCTCTCACCTCCTTCTAGCTCTGGGACGTACTTGAAAAAACACTTTCTTTTTGTATTTTATACAAAAAAAAGTCCCTTGCACATTTGATTCAATCTGTCAAATGCTGTAATTTAGTGCACCATTGAAGAAAACAGCTAAACACTGGTTATTAACAACAACAGTGAATTGTGTTAGATTTGGTGCAGTTGTGGCCAATTTATTCTTATCATCATTTGGTCTATGTCTCAAGAAAAAAAATAGAAGTTCCAATTGAGATATCATTCTCACTTTCCTCTGATCAATAATTACAGCCTTTTAACTGCTGAAGCCTTTTCTTTCCCTCAGTGGAGTGAGAAATTATTTCACACTGCAAATATTTTTGCAAGCAGTGACAAATGTGCATTCCAAGATTGTAATATCATTTGTACCCACCAGGTTTTTTTCTTTTTGTCTCTTATTTGTAACAAAGGTGTTCACACCCTGCATGAGGTATCGCATGGCACAAAAATTACCCACTTATCCAATATATGGAATATTCTCTCAATAATGTCAAAATTGTATCTACAGATGTAAATCATCAAGTATACATGTATATATGAACATGTTTTTGTACATATATAAAGTATGTTCAGCAGTGGTTGGTTCGCTCCTCAGGTCCTCTTTCTTGGCTGGACGGTTCACATATCACCTATTCAAGCTGGGTGAGCAGACCACAGCCAGGAGCAGCTTGTGGACACATTCTGAGAGACTCTGGCTTCCAATGGGACGCCACAAGAGACTGCAACAAAAAACTGTCTTTTATCTGTCAGTTTGGTATGTATTCTGACTCAAACTTTGGGGAAAACAGCATTCTGAATCATTCTATGATGAATTACCACTTTGTATTGCTTTTTTATTCTTCACAGAGTCTGGGAGATCCATTGTGTGTGCAGGTCGTAACACCACTCTGCAGTGTGGTTCTGGTCAAGTTTTAATGATAGATGGCGGCTTCTACGGTCGTAAGAACATTTATTACTGTCGATCCACGCTCTCCCCACCAACAGCAACCACACCACATCAGTGCGGGTGGGTGGATGTTGTAGAATCATTAACAGGTAAAACATGGTCAGATTTTTTTTGTGTGCAATAAAAACATGAATTATTATTTACACTATTATTTAGCTGTCAATCTTACAATAAGTAATGTTTGTGATGTTGATCGACAAAATAATGACTCTCAGATTCATGATAGTTCTTGTAATTTAATCTGATGAACTCAAAAAAGAAAACATCTGAATAGGAAAACAAACACTTTTCATCCATGCCTCATGAAAAGGTTCTGCATGGATGAAAACTGTGATGAAACTCAATCCACTTCTGAAGGAAGTGATCGCCAGACATCACAAAGCACATATTGTCTTAGTACAGACCATTATTTGCAATAAAGGATTGCACATCAGGACATTAATGAAAGAAAAACCACACACAATAATAGCCTAAAAGCTTAATAGGCTTAACGATACATCAATCATATTCATCCATTTCAGAGCAAATATTTACTCGTGCATTTA